CGAGCGAATTAATTTAGAGTTGACGTACATACAATTCACTTAATAGGAAGCTAGGTAGCTCTGTGAAATTCACTGATCACACGCTGATTTTATCTACCGGTGAGATTAGGTAATGTTTTCGTAAAAGTACTAATGTCCGATGTGAATCCACTGAAGTTGAATGATTTGTAATGTTCGAAATTTATAAACGTTCCTGGTCAATATATCTAAAGTTCCCGATTAATAAGCGTTAATCACAGTTATAGCTTACAGAGTTTATAGCACACCAATTACAACAACCCAATAATAGATAGTCCTGTTTTAGCAGATCGCGTTGGTTATACTTATAGGCGTGTGGAGAGTTTCTAGAAATTTCAGTTGTACATAACAATACTGACACTAACACTAGCGTTTACATACATATATTTTCGATTCTTACACTCGAGAATCTTCTACAACTTTAGAGAATAGGCGGGAGTTTTGCAATACATATTTAACAGTATACATCATGTACATTTCTAAATATAAATATAATTTAAACAAACATCGATGTCAAAATAAATATATAATAATAAATCCGTCACAATGGGTTGACGAAAATCGGAAGTCTGGTCTGATTGTAACAAGAAATCAGAATATGCTACAACCCAATGCGTGGGTCAAGAAGAGAAATATTTCCGACTTTATTGCTCATCAGAGCCGTTTCATGAAGCGACACAACTTGGTCCTACACAGAAAACGATGTCTGCCCAACGATCGGGACGACGATGATCCATGAAGGAATGTGATGTCTATGATAAGTCATTTGTGAAGTGAATTCAATGAAATTTTCTGCAATTCAGATTCTGAAAATGAGGATTTAAAATTTTGTTGTCAATACTTTTAAATAAATGGCATATAAATCTTTCTCAATAAATATTCGTCTGTCTTTAGAAATATATATATAATGTACAGGTTTTCTGTGTAATTTTGGAGATAGACTTATACGACTGTAATCATAAAATTACAAGATTTTTGACCTAGATTTAGGGGTCACCCTATACACCGAGTCGACTTATATGCCGCGATGTACGGTCCCACAAACAATAAGAAAATATAAACTAGGGCAGTTACATAACTAGGCCCTTATGCAGCCCATCACCTGCACTGTTTCTCGATGTATTCATTGCTGGAAAGAACAAATATGAATTAGTCCTACACATTTCTTATTAAGGTGAAGAGGATAAACCGCCTTATCCAAGTTTCAAACCTCCACCTTTGATTCCTTCTGAAGACGTAGGAACCGGAACTAATAAGTTTACGTATTTCATTTGTTCGAAGCGTAAGTAAATATCATTTCATTGTATTTCAAGAAATAATTACTCTTACATACTGGTTTATGGTTTTAAAAACGTTTATAATATCTTATTGTATAGTATTTTATGAAATAAATAGTCTTACATTTCGTTTTATGAGTTTCGTAGCGTATCTCAGAATCTTATTCTATAGCATATTGTGAAGTAATTAGTCTTGCTTATTGTTTTACAAATTAAGTAGCATTTTATAGAATCTTATTGTATGGTATTTTAAGACGTTAGTAGTATTACGACAGCGGAAGTCACGTAACGCTGGTAACACGTCAAGAGTTTCTAGAAGCAGCATGGCTGTTCCTGGCAACTCTAGTGTTTGCCAGACGCCCTCTATTTTTGTATATAAGACCGGCAAATAAAGCGGAGATATAATTGCAGATTGAACAGATAGAGACAGATAATCGAGTGAAGCGAGCAGTAGTGACGGTAATATAAAGTGTGCGTTTTGTTATTGGGATTGCAAAAATATTGACTGTGGAAATTATGTGTATTATAACGTTGTATCGAGAAATAATAAAATAGTTTTAGTTAAGAAAGGACTTGTATCGCTGAAATTCCTCGGGAAGAATTTTTACGGGAAATTAACAAACGAACAGAGACGTAACAGTGGTCTTTTATTCCATTTTATGAACTATGCCATAGCAGCGTTTTATATCTTATGAAGAAAGTAATTTGTGTACTTATAACGAGTTTTGAATAGTGTCTTGGAGTAGTTAAATTGGTGTAGTGTTTCAACAAATTATTAGCTTTATGTAGTACCCTAAAGTAATTATTCTTGTGTGATGCTATTGTTACGTCCCTGTTCATTTGTTAATTTCTCGTAGAAATTATTCCCGAGAAACTTCAGCGATACAAGTTCTTTCTTAAGTAAAACTAGTTTATTCTTTCTCAATACAACTTTGCAATACACTTAATTTCCACAATCAATTTAACTTAAACACACGCTATAATTCACAACGAACGATTCACGCAGTTACTTACTACCGTGCTTGACTCAATTGTCCGTCTCTGTCTGTCTGCAATTCTATATCTATTCGTTTCGTTTTTCGCGG